ATTTTTATTCTTATTTTTACAAATTTTCTTGGGGGACATGCCCCCAGACCTCTATGTCATAATTATCTTTAGCATGCTGCGCGTGCTTCGCACAATATGTGTTGGCTGTTGATCTCACAAATGAATGGGATTGATTGTAATAATGATGGTATTCTTGTTGACACTTTTGTGCGCGACTTATGAATTATTGGGGACCCACAAACAATTCAGTGCATAGATAGTATAAAAAATGGGTTTAAAAAGCGTGCGAGGACCCCATCGGTAATACTGGGGGTTAAAATGTTACAAATAATATGTAGTATTTTCACTATAAACTATTGCAATCTTAAAGAGAGAGAGAAAATTGTGATATTCGTCTTCACAACGATTCCAACACAAAAACAAAATATTTCGTTGTTTTTTTTTTTGTTTTTCGAGGTTTGATTACACTTTCGATTTTAGTTTAAAGACATCACTGGTTTTAATTTTAAAACGTAGGAGTATTACACCAGACTCCTGGAAGGCTCGAATTTTAGGTAATTTAAAGAAATATAATATTTTTGAACTGTATACATAGTGAACAAGTGAAAAACCAGAAAGAATTAAAAACCTTCAAATTAATTTTGAATTTTGCTTACATATAATAACTTGTTGAAAATTCTCATTTTTTGTGAAATTTTTGTAAAATCGTAAAGTGTTGAACATCAGGTACTAGAACCTATTGGCACGCACACACACACACACACAAACGACCAGAAAGATGACATTTTTCCGCACACAAAATAATATTTAGAACGTCATTAATGTCAACATCTTAATTCAGAAAAACGAGAGAGATTTGGAATACAATATTTATGTTTTATGTAAATAAACGAGACATAGAGAAGTTAAGAATCAAAAAGTTTTGGTTTTATTATAATCCTAGACCCGGTCGTGGCCCACTGGTTAGAGTGCCAGGAATATATATATATCCGAGGATATGTGATTTACGACTCGTTGCCACTAAAATTAGCTCCGAACTTTGATTGTGTGAGTTACGGTCAAATCCCACTATTCATTTAGACGAAAGTATTTAATCTATCGGTTCAAAAATTGGAATGGTTCGGCGTGGATAGAGCTTATATAGCTTTGCGCAAAAGTCTGAATGAAGCAAACAATAAATATGCCCCTCGTGTTTTACTTTATGAAAACTTTTACAGAATTAAAATTTAATAAATGTATGATTTTCAGACGAAAGGTGTACATTTGACAAAAATTTTGTCTCAATTACAGATCCAATAGTTATCTTGTTTATTGATAAACACAAAGATACACAATGGGTAACTGTGCTCAGCCCACCACGGGTACCAAAACCAGGTTTTTAGCGTTATAAGCCAACAGACAGGTGGGGGGTGGGAAGCAATAGTTGTCAAAATTATAACTTGACGCACAATGAAAAACATTTTAAAAACACGATCTTTGGCTCGTGACATACACACGAGGTCACATTTACTTAAGCCAAGTGTAGAGTTCTATTTGAAAAAGCCCCCCCAGTAGCACAGCGGCATGTCTGCGGCCTTACAACGCTAGAAACCGGGTTTCGATACCCGTGGTGGGCAGATCACAGATAGCCCTTGCGTAGTTTTGTGCATAATTAAAAACAACTATTTGAAAAATAATATAGAAAGGGATCAATTGTAATTTAAACGGTTGATCATTTTACAGAAAGCTACATAATTTTCCTGGTATCCGATTTCATATAAAATAATTCGGTGTCCCTACACTCTGTTAAAACGCACTGTTAAAAAAAAAAAAAGTTTGTCAAGTGTAGAATATATAAATAAATAAATAAAATTACCGTTTATACA